CACACACACACACACACACACACACACACACACACACACACACACACTCCTCCACTTGTCTGTAAGGAACACTCGGTCCAGTTGTATCACACAGTTACATAACTCGTATCTCCTGTTTCACCGTCTCTTCACACTGCGTTCAAAACGTGCCGAGTTCCACATTCAACATGGCGGCGACTGAGCCGGCAGCGACTGAGCCGGCAGCGACTGAGCCGGCAGCGACTGAGCCGGCAGCGACTGAGCCGGTGGCTAGCAGCCAACGGTGCAAACAGCTGCAACAGTGACCACGTTCACATACGCAAAGTATTCAGATTTCTGCCCGTATTCTGAAAACAACAATAATCCTGCTCACTTTCTCTCACCAAAATCTACATTTTACAAGATTTCATTTGAACACATCATGATAACGTCATAATTCACTTTCATCCAATGCTCATTTGTACCGAATGGTGCTTGAACGCACCGTAGTGTCACTAAATGGAACATCCGTACCAGAGTCGTAGGGCTCATTTCAGAAACAACAGCAGCTGTTGGTGTCAGCGTTAACGAACGTCACCAGCTCTCCTCCTGAACATCTCAACACTGATCTGTTCTTTATGTGTATTATAAAGACTAAAAAGCATCAATGCAGATCTCCAGATGGCACATCATTACTGAATCTAGGCCGATGAGGATCGGCAGTGAAACTTTGTTTCACACTATGATGGTTAAACTGTGTAGTGAATCCGCGGCTCACATGACTCTCTTCTTACTTTTTATCCAAAATCCTCCTACACTGCTGATTTAAGGCTCTTTTTTCGGTGCATATAAAACTGGAGTGTTGATTCCTTGATGCAGAAACCAGACATCACGTTTTATATAATAAAAGATCGATACTCGTCCGTGTATGGATATCAATATCGCCAGGCGGAGTACCTCCACCCCCTGATGTTCACGTGCTCCATTCACCCTCTGTCTCCGTCTCTTTAAGAGTTTTGCAAAAAGCTTTTAAGTTTCGGCGGCACTAATCACACAAGAAAAAAACTCAAAATGCGCCCATGGGTGCTGGCAGGGGAAGTCATTTCACACCCACCAACATGTTTACACACACACACACACACACACACACACACGTGCACAGAGTAGAACAAACCACCTTTCCGACCGCTGAGGCGTTAACAAAACCCATCTGTTCCTCCTCCACTGTGGCCTTTAGTTTTTTTTTGCCACTCCTCCTCCTCCAGCTATACTTTCTCCAGCCTCCTCCATCTCTTGCTCACTTGTCCTCACTCCTTTCTTTACTCTCTTCATCTCCCGTCTCTTTCAGGCCCTTTTCTATATATTTTTTGGAGTTATTCAGCATCATGACAAGCGGCTGACAGCGAGGAGGTCACAGGTCGCGGTGCCCTGACAGGAGATGGAGCAGATACAACCTCCTCCTCTCCGGAGGACATTTCTCCGGCGTGGAGGAGAATCAGCGGTTAGAAATAAGAACCGGGGAGGAGGGAGAAGTTTTGGCAGCCGGCGTCGGTTCATCTATCAGTCTGAACGGCTGCCAAAACACTCAGACGCCATCTTGGACTCGAGATGGATTAAAGGCTGGATTAATGACCAGCTCAGGCTATACCCACTTAAATGTGATTCATGTGAATACATGTGGAGGTAAACAGAAACTGTTGTGTACACCATGTGGCCAAAAGTATCTTTGTGCTGAGCCTAGCAAAGTCAACACCTTCTCTCAATGATTTTACATCAAACTGTTTTCATGTACATTTTCAATTTGTGCACAGCTGCAAATTAAAGAAAAGTTGTGCTGTGGAAGAGTTGGTGTAGCGGAAGTCTGAATGTCTTAGTTTTACTTCTTCCTTTAATTAGACTTTTCAGACCTTTGTAAAGCAGAATTATCATATTTTGTGAAGGAGCTGAAGAGGCTCATGATGCTGCTGTTGCTTGCCGGTTTCATCACTTGTTTCATACAAAGAGAATCAGCCAGAGAATCATGTGACAGCTGCAGTTTTTCTTAACAAATGACGTCCAGTGCAGCTTTAAGGTGGTTTAGAAGCTCTAACAATCACCTGGATTGTGCTTTGTTTCACAGTGTCAAGCTCTTTGTCTTTGAGCCTGGTTCCTCCACACGGTCCATTTATTCTAATAGCAGCGAGGAGGATTACATCATCAGAGGAGTGAGGGATGTTCAGGAAAACGCCGACGGAGAACGCAACGAGGAAACCCTGAACGTCTATTTCTCCTTCCAGCTTTATAAATCAGAGGAATTATGATTTGTTCTGTCACAAGTTACTCATCAGAGAGGAAATGTGAGACGCAGCAGAGAGAGAGAGAGAGAGAGAGAGAGAGAGAGAGAGAGAGAGAGAGA